CAAAAGTTTATTCCAAAGATTCTTTTCTTACGAGCGTTGCGATCAAACAAAGCTGGGGTTGAACGCGTATGAGTATGCTGTTGGTCAAACAATAACCAGGCATGTCGAAAGAAGGCGAAGAGAAAGGAACTCAACTCCAATGCCACGGGTTCAGATCCAATAACAAATCGAGCTCTGAAACTGCTAAAGCCAATCCGAGCAGTGTTAGAGCCCTTTCAGTCAATCCATACTTTGGAATCTCGCTTAGAAGACAGCTACTCCTCATCTCCACGACCAAAAGGAATGAATCTTAGAATGGAAGAGATACACGGGTTAAACCCCTGTTAGGTCAATTACATCGAACCTCATATCGATTGATAGCAAGGGAGATCAGCAAAGAATGGAAGATCGGTAAACAACGTATCATATCGATCGAAGAAGAAAAGCTCAGGACACAAAGCCAATGCTTACACGCGTACCTGTATCCATATCCATATTCGCTATTTCTCTTTGATCTTGAAAGACTGGAGTGTTTGATTAGAGAGTTGGTCGTTATCTCTTATCTTCGAACCTGAGCTTGCTTACCTTACTACCGGGACTAGTAACAGAGGAAGTCTTCTTCAACGACTGCTGATATCGATCTCGACCACTCGTTACATATGTTCTGATCCCAGTACCTGAGACCGGCCTGTTCACTGATCCCATTACTAATAACGGGACTGGTTCCTGAGACCTAAACCAGAGACCTTCAGCCTGCAAGAGCTACTCCTAAAAGACCTCAATTACATCGACCCTTACCGAGGAACTGAGCCTGCCCAACTACTATACTACTACTAGTAAGACTGGGATAGTCCCTTAACAGAGACCTAAACTACTGTACCCGAACCTGACCTACTTATCAAGGACTTGAGCCTGCCGCTAAACGCAAGGGAGATAACAAAGGAAAGGGCTAATCCGAGAAAATGACGAAGACCAACTCCCACCTATTTATTCCGATATCGGACAGGAAGACAAGCTCCCCGATAATCCGATTACCGTTATTTAGCCTTCGGTGCTGGAATGATGGTCTTTTGCCAGTCCTTTAGAAAGGGGTCTAGCTCCCACGGGTTAGAACAACGAAGAGCAGCTCCCAGTAAGGGAGTATATAATGAGCCTGTTTATTAGTGTCAATTTTGTTCCATCTAAGGCCCCTCTATTTCGCCATTCGTGAGGTACGATCACAAGCAACGGGTTGCAAACGTAGGTGATTTGAACTAACCTAACGAATGGGCAAGGTGCCTCAAATGGACCAAACAAGTGATACCGCTAGACTCAGCCTCTTAACGGGAATCCATACTCTTAACCTTACGATATTGACGACGTGTAAGAAAGGTGACTGGCTCTTTCTGCCCCCCTGGAGATGGTAGCAAAACTCGGACTTCCGCAGCCAGGTGTTCCATCCTCTTTCGACACTTTAGCCTAATCTGGTTGAACATAAATTCCGTCCTTTCTTCTTCCGGCACCTTATATAAACTATAAGTCAGCCGAAAAGGGCATCAAATGAAGTGCTCTGTCCACAAAGGAATCTGGTAAAGCCGATGACGAAGGGCGTCTTCTGCCCAGCTTAACTCACGTTTCAGCGCCATCGCATCAGACATTTCCGGTCCTAAACTAACGATATCCTTAACAGGGGCAAGTCCAAAACTACTGATTTTGTTTGTACTTGCATTTATCAAATCAAGATTCTGCTCGTGTTCTTTGTTCCACAACCCTGCAGCTAATGCTGCTCCTGGTGCCGAGGTAGCCGCCTTTGAAGTACGGGGCATTCGCCTTTCTTTCTCTCTTTCGAAAGTACAAATATGAATAAACTTCTATCATACATCTCTATTCCATATTCCAAACCGATAGATATTTTAGGAATAGGACTACCCATTGGGTAGGGATTGGGATTGAGGAACCTTACGCCCACAGGACTTGAAAATCAAGTAGGCAAGGCTAAGATCCAGATCTTGACTAAGGACTTCTATTCTAAGTGGTACTG